CGGAATTTAAAAAAAAATAAATAAAAACTAGAAATTCGAACCTAAAATGGCTACCCGCTGCCCGAGCCAAATCGCCCTCCTAACCGGCTGTCAGAGCCTGACTGAACACCCACTCCCAGGTAACCGCGCTACCCGCACTTGACCGGCTAACCGCTCCCGCTTGACCAGACTGCTTGCGCCGCATGACCTGCCCCGGGATTTGAACATGCTCCTCTTGCAAACCAACCCCCTTCTCCACATGCTCCTCATAGTTGAAAGCTTTTTTTGTTTATATTATAACTCAGCTTACGGTGGATTTGCGATGGCAAACTCCGCCGCAAATCTGTCGCAAAAAATTCATCGCAAATTCATTGTCATTTTTGATAAAAAAAATAATCCATCGTAAAGTCCTTTGCAAATCTGTAACATTCTTGTAGTGTTATTCTTGTTAAAGTCCTTTGAGCTCCATTGAATCATAAAGAAAGGAGAGAAGTTTTTGTTGGAGTTTAATATGAATTAATTGAGACCAATAACCTACTTAGTAAATCATTGGAGTTCTTTGATGATTCTCAAAGGTGATAACTAAGATGGCCTTAACCATTGAGATTTTTATTGAAGCCTTCAACTATGAGCAAGAATCCTAGAAACTTCATGAATCGTACTCTAAAGGCATAGTACGAAATACTTAGGCTCATATTAGCTTTCCTAAGCTTGGATAATCTTTCATAGAGACAGAGAATATGGTGGGTCGATGCCTTGCTTTTGATTAGTAGATTAACTTGTACTTTTATGTTACGATCCCTTTAATCTTTAAAGATGATGTCCATCATTTTGTAGTAAATGGTATCAATATTATTCACTTTGAATGATATGATGTTGTAGCATTATAATCAATTATCAATCCTGAATGTTTTCTTCTTGTAGTCAATGGCATGTGTTTAGATCTAATGACTAATTGAGAAGGAATCCAAAATTCTCATGACGGGAGCCAATAATAGATTCAATTTAAGCATTTATTTTTGGAAGTTATAACTTACCCTTAGGACAAAGCCTAGTATATGAAGTCAATCACTTTTTAGCTCTTATACCTCATAACAAATAAGTTTTCCTATGGTATTTGTAATATTTTGCTTAATTGGTTTAGGCAGCTTCTTGATGTTAAGTTAGTGGGGTAGCAGATATTTCTATTATGCCTAGCATTTCAGTTGTAATCTAATAAAATATTTTAAAATTCAATTGGATGGTTGTGGGTTTAATTTCAATACTCTAAGTTGAAGAAAGAATTGATGCACAAATGGGAGTTTTGTTTATATATATCACAATGATTTTATTATGATATCGGAGGCCTTAGAATCGAGCTCCCAACTAGATCTTGTTTTGTAGCACCTCATTCTTGACATTGCCATCTTGAAGTAGCATGAATAGGATTGCAATAACTTATTTTAAATAGATATATATACTTTGCTTCTCACCAAGAATTATACAACCCCATTGTTGGTGGAGATGACTGGCTTGATTCTTTTTATGAGTGGATAATTAGTATTATATTATAGGTAATGATGCATTTTTTTAACCAAATTTTTTAAAAAAAAAAATCTATTAATATAGAAAGATACAGCACAAGACCTCAAGAAGGACCACATCAATAGAATTACAATTAATGATAAAAAAAAAACAGTAGTAGCAAAGCAAACTGAGAATAGGAAAGACAAAATTGGAAGAATATCATACTCGGACCAACACCAAGTTGCCAGGGAGGGGCCATCCATGGAGAACAAACAATACATCCGAACCAAAGGGCCATCCATGCTAAACAACCCTGGCCAACCAAGGCGCATGCAGCAAAGCTGCTACCTCATCGTCCATTTCAAATCGAATCCAGCATCGCAACGAAAGCAACATAAATAGAAAAAAACCAATTAGCACATCCCATAACTTCCAAAAAGAAGAAAATCATTTATTCTTGGAATTCCGTTTATGTTGCCTGACAAAATTATCGAGCGAGCCCGTATCTAAGGTGTTATCAATAGAGTCCTCCCACTATCAATTGCCATGTCATCATGTAACCAATCACATTGTCACCTAACATCTCTAGCAACATGGGCTAATATATTAGTATTTGAAATGATAGAAATAGGCACATCCACTAGAGGCATCACAATACCTTCCTCTCCAACAGCAGCCAAGGCTTCCTCACCACTATCAACAAAAGAAACAGAATTATCATCAGACAATTCCGAACCATCACCATTGACTATTATGAAGTTTTCCATGTTAATGTTTTGATATTCACTCTTATCCCAAATAAAATGAAGCATAATTTTTCCTACAATCTTATTACACTCACAAGAGAGATTATTGAGTATAATAGGTGTCAACTGAGAAGATTCACAAGATTTATCTGATAGAAAATATACTTAAAAAATAATTTTAACACTTATCCATGTATTGAACAAAATATTACTAATAAGAAAATTGGCAATGATAAATGATAATGGTAACATAATTACAAGGTTGCAAGTTGGTATTCAATTAACATTTGAGAAGGTTAGGGGCACTACCTCTACAGTTTTGTTGAGTGAGAAGTTGATATAGTTTAGACCTCGCTTGACTAAAGTCACTTAAGGTTAGCTTTTCTTGATGTTTTATCTGTTGCTCCATAAAGAATACTAGAATGACCCTATTAACCTCCAAAAAGTCTCCAAGCAAAATCTTTTGTAACATACACATGATCATAAACTATTTACTATTGACATACTTGGTAGATTTCCTTAATAGTTTCTTCATATCTACATTCTCTATAGAGGATTATTGGGTACCCTAAACTTGAAGGCTCTAATCCTCAATCCCAAGATGGAAGATGTCTTTTCGATGAACTTTTCTTTATTGTTATTTTATATGGGATTGCTTTTGAATCCATAAAGCAAATGAGTGATTGAGAGGTCTTCAATAATTATTTTTAACATAGAAAAATGGACTAGAAATTAATAAAACAAACCTTAAAGTAAATATTACCCTAGAAAGGTAAACTATATTGAATTACCTTTGCATTGGTTTTATAAAGGCAGTTGTAAAAATTATGCACTTTATAACATCAAAGATGTTATATAATTAAAGCTTATTATCGAAGCTATTCGTTTGATAAGTAGGATCAATGCTTGCTTTATATTTTTCAAGTTGAGGAACATTGAAGTTTAGTGGGATAATCTCCTCTAAATTTGTAGAGTTGAATGTAGAATTATGCAATTAACTTTGATATGAGTGGGTGTGGAATATGTGATAGAATATTATCAGTTATAATTACCTTATCTTTATGAGAAGACTAAGGTGAATGAATTAATTGCAAGAAGGTTGGGAATTCAGATAGCATTGATTACCTTAATGATAGTAATTTCTCTTAAGAAACAAAGGTGTTATTATTGATGGCATACCAATAAGGGACAATACCAAATTTTGATCTATACTGAGCATCATTTCTTTGTGGTTATCATCATCCATTTCTCATTTTCTTATGAGTTAAAGTTTATCTTTCCATAAATTGTACCAAAGATGTGAATGTGAGAAATTAATTGTCACGTAAGATGATAGAAAATAATGAGAAGGAATTATACTTAGGGAAAATAGTAAAAAACTTCTGAGCAAATTCTCATTAGAAGTCTAAATATGCACTGATTTCAGTATTACATATCTATATTACTCTATAACAATTCCTCCTCAAAAGCCAAAACTTCTTCAAAGCATGAATTTACTCATATTACATATTATTCACTTAGTTAAACATATAATCATTATTTTAGTATAAATATAAGCAATTTGTACAATTTACAAGAGATTTTGTATACATGATTTTAAAATAATTGATATACATCACAAAGTTGTTTGTTCAGCTTATATTTTATATGCCATGTTTATTCTCATTATCATCCATAAAAGTTGGTTCTATAAACATAATATAGAACTCCATGTTTCATCGCTATTCCTTCTATATTTAAATCACCTACAATATCCATGTAAGCATGGTGCTCCCATGCGCATATAATTATGTTAGAACTTCTAGATACCTAGTTTTTTTACTCATATCAACCTTCATAGAGGTTTTTTCCTTTCTTTTCTTTTTTTTTTTTTTTTTTTTTTTTTTTTTTTTTTGGTGTATTTGTGCTCCATATGATTGATAAAGTGAATTGGGGATTAGGGGAGTCAAAACAGGTTATTGAATTTAGGTCCAACTTGAAATTGATCTTAATTGAATCATGTCAACCTGAACCCAACTCGTTTAATCAATATGTCAAAAATGTGGACCCGGACCTAACCCACTAGCAACCCGAATGACCCAAATGTGACTTGATAACCCAATTTTATTTTTAAAAAATTATAACTTTTAAACAATAGATTTTAAACTAATTAATAAAAAAAATAAAACAAACATACCAACAAATAAAAAAAAATTAAGGAAAACAAAAATTAAACTTGTCAATTTGGATCAAAATTGGGTTAACAGGTCAACCAGAATCCGACCCTTTTAAAAACAGGTCAGAATTCGAAACCCGAATCGAACTCATTTATTAAACAAGTCAATCCAAATCCGAATTTTTCAAATCGGGTTTAGGCTGGGTTGGTGGATCAAGTCATTTTTTACACCCGTAAAAAGGATGAATAAGGATGATGGAAGTGCATTTAGTCATTTATCATTTTCATCTTTTGCTTAGAGTTCAAGACACTCAAATGATTGATGCCTAAATAAATACAAGGTTCCTATGATTATAAGAAAAAAGAAGCATAAAACAGTACATTAAATCAAGAAAAAAACTAGCAAATACTGTTCATAAAATGGATACCAAATGACCCTATGAAGTATAATTATATAGGCAAATATCATTTGAACCATAATTCAACGAATCATACCATTGGTACAGAATATAATCATACATATAAGTAAAGCTCTCTTTTCAAAAATCATATTGGTAGCTGCTCTAAAAAATTTTGTTTGGGCATTTCCTGCAAGTAACCAAAAAAATTTGCAGGAATAACCCTGGATGAAGGAACCGGAGCAACCATGTCAGATGACGAAGATGATCTCCAACTTGATTGCTCTCTTGATCCTGCCATGGACGGACATGATCTGATGGGCTTCGGCCCACTTCTACCTAGCGAAACAGAGCGATCTTTAATGGAGAGAGTGAGGCAAGAGCTCAAGCTTGAGCTGAAGCAGGTTTTGTTACTATTTCGCATCTGCATTACAAATCTAATTTAATGGTTGTAATGTGTAATTTTATGAATTATGACTGGCACTCTTCTGTTTTATTTTTATTTTTATGGTCTTCTTTCAGGGTTTTAGGTCGAGAATTGAAGATGTAAGAGAGGAGATTCTGAGGAAGAGAAGGGCAGGAAAACTTCCAGGTGACACCACTTCTGTGCTCAAGCAATGGTGGCAGCAGCATTCCAAATGGCCGTACCCAACAGTATGATTTGTCTATTTTTACAGTTCTAATCATAGATTAGATTTTAATAAATATGGTACTTTTGGGTCTGAAGTGTTAAGAGGAGACAACTTAAAAGCATTGCATTGTCACTGAAGAAATAAGAAATACAGAACAAAAGATGCTGACTTGAACTCTAAGATGGAAATTCCATTGAAAATCTGATTTACTTTTATTTTGATTTAAATCATGGAGCTGACTGATGAGTACTTAGATCTCACCTGAACTAAGCATTAACTGAGCTAAGACATCGAGTCAAGCTAGCTCGAGTTCGAATCAAATAATGTATCCTTGTATGCATTATTTGATTTAGCCTACAGTTATGTAATGGCGGAGCCAGAAATTTTGTTCGGGGGGCTAAATTAAAATAGTTATGTTTGCCGTCTTATTTGGAAGGTTAGAATATATTAAAATAGTTTCGTTTGCCCTCTTATTACCGGAACCAAGAGGAGCTGTAAGATCAAAATTAAGAATATAAATAACATGACCCTTAGAGCTCATAAGACATAAACATCTGTCATGGACGGTCTTCGTTTGGGGGCGAGAGATGAGCGAAAGGAAAAATGAAAGCCGTACTTGAGGTCGTGACCCGTGAGTCGCGAGAGAGGAGTAAAAGAACAAGATGAGGGGAAAAGGATCAATGATTAGCTATTCTGTTAGTAAGCAATTAAGAGGACTAACTACATTTTAATTAATACTTAATGCTTTCTCTACTAACATAAGCTATCAAAAATAATATTTTTAAAAGAGTAATGCTTATTAGAAGGTAAAATATCTTACATATTTTTGTGTACAATAATTTATATCAGAGTACTGTTTTATTTATGAATATATAGTTCTGGCTCCTTCTAGATTGTGCCTACATTTCTCTGCTATTAACATGGATGATTTGGCATGCAGGAAGATGACAAAGCAAAACTTGTTGAAGAGACTGGCCTGCAACTCAAACAGATCAACAATTGGTTTATCAATCAAAGGAAGCGAAATTGGCACAATAACGCCCAGTCTGCAACAAGCTGCTTGAAGTCTAAACGCAAAAGGTATTTCTCCTCTATATAGAAAGTATGGATCATTGGTTAATGACACAATTGATTTTGTTTACAGGTAACTGAGAAGGAAGCCATGGAAATGATCATCATATCATGTTATTTACTTAGTAGTTGTGGATGGGATTCAAACATGACAGATTTTTGGTAGCAATGAAAAGGATAAGTTTTTGCCCAAAAGAAGAAGGTGACAAGGTGGAGTACTAAGTATCAGTTTGAACAATCTTGTATAAAATAAAGTCCATAGAGAAAACTGGAAGCTGACAATGCTGGATATGTAAAGTATAATCGCTCAACCCCACCCACAAATATATACACAGACTTTTTTTTTTTTTGCTTTTCTAACAATGAAGATTTGCCAAAGTGCTGTAGTAAATACTATAGTGAAGACAATTAGTTGTTGATAACTCAATTTCTGGAGATGTAATCTTGTGGACATGTATAATGGTTGATCTCTTGATTGTCTAATTTTGTTCATCTGCAGTGTAAATTTGCTCGCATATTTTCTCATCTCCTGGCACCTCAAAATCTCTCTCCTGTGCGTTAGGTGGTGGAAGCTCTTTTTCTAATTCAACAAGCAACAGATTATGAGACATTTTCAAAATTTTTACTGTTACTACTTCAATCGAACTTTGAGATTTGCTTAAAAAAGAATATCGAGGTACATCTAAAATAATGTGTTAAGTTACAGACTGTTTATCATGATTTTTAATGCCTTCTTTATGAAACTTTCAAAATTTATTTCAGATTTTCTCACAATAATTATTTCAATTGTGAGCCAAATTAGATCATATGGAGAGGAATTATCATATAAAAAAATCATTAAGAAAGTTTTAAGTGGTTTTCCAACTAAATATGTTCAGATTGTTGATGTCATAGAAGATTCTAAATGTTTATTTGAATGTTCAATGAATGAACTAAAGGGTTTTTTGCAGGCTCGTTAACAGAGATTAAATAGGATTGTAGAAAATTTAAGGTGCAGCCATTTCAATCAAAGGTGAATTTTAAGAAAGATCTAGAAGCTGCTGGAAAAGAAAAGCAAGGTGAAAATGGACATGGTTGTGGTGGATTCCGAGGAAGAGATTAATATGATGGCATTAGAAGTCTTCTTCTATGGAAGGTTCCTATTGTGGAAAAATAATCATTCTTTAAAGGATTATCACGCAGTTTATAAATAAGAATAATCAAAATAGGAACTAATCTATCATTGCAAAGAGTATGTACATATTAGAAATTTATAACTGTTACAAGAACCAATTTTCATGATGAGAATAAACATATTATTTTTATTCTGCTTTAGTGCGATATATCATCAAAAAATTATTTTGATCGGGCACGAATTTCAAGGCAAAATAAAGTGGGTAACTTTCAAAATTAAAGCTAGGACCATATAAACTCTGATTTCAGCAAACTTATAGTTGAACTGAACATCTCAAAGATACGAATCCAACATCACCAAATTTGACTCAATCCAAGCCCAAATGGGTCCAAATCAAAGACCCGAACCACATTCGGAAGGTTCAAATCATAATTTGGATTACCAAACAATTTCCGAACATGACATGCTTATAGTCAAATCGAGCGGCTCGACGAGACGAATCCAACGAGCCTAAGATTTCCAAAATTCGGATAACATTATGACATTCAAATGTCCAATAAACAATCTATGATCAAGGGGATCAACATCGGCCTTCATTTAAACCACTCCCACCTTATCCTTGATCTTCTCCCTATTTACTAGCTAGCCATGCACTCCCACCTTACCATTGATCTTTTTTCTATTTCATGATCAGAAAACTATAAATAGAACACTCATTCCTCATGGAGAGGGGGATGGAGGGGTACCAAAGCAAGAAAGGAGATGAAGAGAAATTGCCACCAAGCTCCTTCTTGTCTACATCTCGGCCATCGACCGTCATTGGATTGACGCTGAACTTCCTCTTGGCCACCAGCTGAAGTTGGACTTTTGCCCGGCCATCCACTGACGTCAGACTTTTGCCCGTCCACCGACCGACGCCGGATTTCCGATTGTCCATCAAATGACACCAAACTTCTGCCTGGTTACTAATTAATACCAGACTTCCATCTAACTTTCATATTTTGTTGGACTTTCACTAGACAGGTCTTTTTGACCTCCATTGTCTGTCGACTATGATCCTTCCAAGCTCCATTGCTAGACAACGATCATTCCGACCTCTGTCGCCAGACAATGGTACGTCTTTCCTACCTTCGTCACTCGCCAACTATGGTCCTTCCGACTTCCATCTCCAGACAATGGTCTTTCCGACCTTAGTCGCCCGCTGACTACGGTCCTTCTGATCTCTGTTGCCCTTCGACTATGGTCCTTCCAAGTTCTGTCGCCATACAACAGTCTTTCTGACCTCCGTCACCTTCTTACTACGGTCCTTTCAATCACTGTCACCCAACTATGGTCTTTCCGACCTCTGTCACCTACTGATTATGATCATTCCGACCAAGCGAGCATGTCAATAGTAATTCTTCCAATTCCCACCATTTATTGCATTCTATATGAAGTAAATTTGTTACATCAAGCCAAGGTCTTCCAAACAATAAAGGTGCTCATTTGTAATCAACTGCAAATACTAATGAATTCATTCAAACTGAGTTGGACCCTGTCGTTTATCCCTTTTTAGGATTTTTCACATAAAAATCTTAGTGTCTCTTATAAATAATACACCCTCTCTTTTTAGCTGATTGTGTGTTGGATCTTCATACAAAGCTAAGACGTTAAACTTTATATTTCTCTATCGCCGTGAATATTTCAGGATGCAACAAGTGCCAATGATGAATAAGATGATATATGGTCATTAATAAATAGGTATAATAACCATATCACCCAAAAAAAATTATTTGAAGAAATTGTTGAAAACATTAAACCGCAAGTAAGGATGGTTAAGATAATGTTCACATTATGATAGTGAAAATATATTCATAATTTGTTGTGTATATCCATCTTATTTGTAAAATGAAAATGGCTAAAGAAATTCCATTGATTGAAAATGATGACCGGATGCATGAAGCATGTATAAAAGGAAAGGATCATCGTGAGTTCCTTCCCATTAGCAAGTCAAGAAGAATAAATAATACATTAATGCTTGTTCTTGCTGATATTTGTCGTCCCAAGGTGATATTATTTTTTAATGTTTATAAATAACTTACCATTTTTATTGATGATTGTAAGAAGATAATTTAGGTTTTATTTGGGACGGCTTTTTTATTATTTCTTAAAGCATTTTTCTAGTACAAAAATTAATTTTTTTATTTTTTATTAAAAAATTACTTTAAGAAGCAGTAAGAAAGCCATCCCAAATAAAAACTTAGATGAAACTCTTCAAAAGTATAAAGCTCGACTGATTGTGAAAAATATGAACAATAAAATGGAATTTATTTCTTAAAAAATTTTGCTTGAATTTTTAGAATTGATGCCAATATAGATATTTACATTAGTAGCTAAACAAAAATTAAGAAATAGTTCACTTAGGCTTCGTTTGATTATCCGGTACCTTTTGTAAAAGGTAGTTTAAAAAATGAAGTTTGAGGGAATGGGGTGTGTAACGGAGAAGCAAATATCAAAAAGCTTATCAAACAGTAGAAAAATGGAGTTATTGAAAAAACAATTCTGCAGAAGCGTCACATACAAACAGTGAAAAAAACATTATGTTGTTTCGAAACAGTAAAGATAAAAATAAGTTGAATCAAGCAAGAGCCCTTAGATATCATATTAACTTTTCTTAATGGTGAACTTGGGGAGGAGGATTTGTTCCTCAAACTCAAGAGTCAAAACTGTGAGTAATGGCATGGAGTATAAAATAGAAAAACTAAAGAAAATATTATATGAGCTTAAATACTTTTGCCAGGAGCATGGCAAAAAAAACTCCAAATATTATTTTCAAATTTATGCATGATCCAATAAAATATCATTTGGGCACAAAAAGATAATTTTGAAACATATGGAAGGAATGCTCAATTAGTAAATCTAGAAGAAATAATACATTAATGGAAGACCTTGCCTAAAGATTTAACCTCAACACATTTGAAAGATCTATTATACAACACTCTCCAACTAGTAGAGTCGTTAGGCCAACAAGGCTAGCTAGATCTATCAGGCTGGTGCTAAGCAAAATATAGAGACTGTTAAGAGATTTAATACGAGTCATTAAGAAGAGTTGTTAACAATATGCTGGTAGGGAGTTGGTTTTGAGCCAACAACATTAAGTAGATGGGCCATCAACGTTGAGTCAATGATTGCGAGCCATCATCCACTAAGCCAAAATATTACAGTGAATGATCATGAGCTATGAGGCTCGAGGTATTGTCTTCGATCCTTCCAAAATGGCAAGTAGAATGGGGCAGGTTGTTAGTTAAGAGTTATCATCACAATGTCGGTAGTTAGCTAATTATAAACATAAAATGAACCAATGGATGAGACTAACCTAATGGGCCTTCTTAATATTGACTTTTTAGAGGGTGTTAACTTACACTACCATATATGTGATCTTAGCGAAGAGCAAAAACAAATTGCTATAGGAGCACAATCATGATTCTCCTCCCAATAAAACTTTAATATTGCCTTAAAAAATAACATCAAAATCATCTTTCCTCTTCCACATCATCTATACAAATGGCATAAATCGTGTCAAGAATTTTTTAAATCATTTGATCATCAAACATCAGCCAAGTACATTAAAAATTTCATAATAGAATGGTTCAATTGAATGGAAAGATGATTATGATTTCAAAATGTAGAAAATTTTAAATAGCTTGAAATCAAAAGCACAAATTTTTTATGATATACATAAACATTTAATAAGGTTTCTATATGTCCTTTTATCATCATTATTCTTTTTTTTTCATGTATGAGTTGAAAAATTAAATGATTATTCTAAACATATAACTAAGAATTAAGAATTTGATGAAACTCTATCAACATATAACTCTTATATTATAAATTATCAAGAAAAATGTGATCATTTTCACAATAAAATGACTTTAATTGCATCAAAAAATAATTAAACTTACAAATTGCAGAAGAATGGTTTAAAATTTCATTACTTTAAACTTTTTTTTTTTTTCATTACTTTAAACTTGATTTAAATGTTTTTTTTCTTTTATTTGGCTCATATTCTAAACATAAATTTCATTAAAACTCTTCAGTAGTCATCACATTTTTACAGAAATTTCTTCACAGAGCTCTCATTAAATATTATTTGTATTGTAATTTAAATCTCAATCAGATAATCTTCTTTATTTCATATCATGAATATATTTTTAGCATATTTATAACAAAAAGGTAACAGAATAAACAACCAAAAATAACCTCCAAAATTAATGAAACTATTAAAATGGTCCATACTAAGCCTCATTTGATTGGGCTGTTGCTGTTATAAAAATTTATTTAAAAACAGTTGCAGAGAAAATAGAATTTCAAAAAAAATAAAAAAAATTGTCCGAATAACGGAGTTAAGTGCA